CCGTCGCCGTCGCGCGCCGTCGCCGTCGCCGTCGCGAGCGCGAGCACGCGGCCGCTGTGGCCGCCGAGGTCGCCGAGGTGGCGCCCGGACCGCGCGAGCCAGAGCGCGACGCGCGACCGGTTCGCGGCGGCGACGACGCGGCCGCAGGGGAGGTACGCGAGGCCCGCGGCGCCGCCGCAGCCCTTGGCCCCCGACGGCCGCATGACGGCGCTCGCGTCCGTCTCCGACGACTCCGTCACCGCGAACTCGCGCGGCGGCGCGGGCTTGGCCGCGCTCCGCTTGCGCTCCGTCGACCCGCGGTCCACGGTGACGACCGTCGCGGGCGTCCCCGCGGGCGCCTGCGGCGGCGCCGCCCGGACCGGCGTCGCGGGCTTGATCACGAGGATGCAGTCGTCGAAGCCCCCCTTGTGCGACGGCGCGGCGGCCTCGGGCTTCCCCGGCGTCTCCGGCGCGGCGGCGTCCGGCGCGGCGCGCGTCTTCGCGGCGGTCTCGGGCTCGGCCGCGGCCCGCGGCGACGGGTCCCGCTTCGCGGGCGCGACGTCGTCCTCGCGGCGGCGGCTCGGCGGGTCCCGCTTCACGGGCGCGACGTCGTCCTCGCGGCGGCGGCTCGGCGGGTCCCGCTTCGCGGGCGCGACGTCGTCCTCGCGGGGCCGCGCGCGCGGCGGCGGGCCGCCCCGCGCCTCGGCGGCGAGCGCGACGTGCTCGATCGCGAGCCCGTTGTCCGCGTCGCCGTCGTCGTAGGCGACGTCCACCGTGCCGTCCGCGTTGACCGCGGCGACGGCGCCGGGGAAGGTCTGGCCCTTGCCGCGGTACTTGGCGAGCACGCGCGCGCCGACCACGAAACCGTCGGGGACGGCGACCTCGTCGGTGTGGATGACCTGGACCTCGGGCTCCGCGCGCGGCGACGGCGGCCCGTCCGCGAGCAGGCGGACCATCGCGCGCGGGAGGCGCTCGTTGACGTCGCCGTCGTCGTACATGACGTTGTAGGTGCCGTCGCCGTTCGCCGCGATGACGCGGCCGGGGAAGACCTTGCCCTTGCCCTTGTAGCGCGCCTCGACGCGCGCGCCGGCGGGGAGCGGCGCGTCGCTCAGGTCCAGGGGCTCCTTGGGCGTGCCCGGCCGGCTGCCCGCGGTGCCCGGCCGGCTGCCCGCGGTGCCCGGCCGCGACGGCGGCTGGCTCGGCTGGCTCGACCCCGCGGGCTCGGCGAACTGGGCGTGGGGCGACGCCGGCGCGGGCCGCCGCCGCTCCGGCGCGCCTGCAGCCTCGGCGGCGGCGACCGCCGCGACCGCCGGCTCCGCGTCGCGA